GGTATAAAAAAATCTCAAAAATTTATGTAATATTATATATATATATATATATATATATATATATATATATATATATTGTTTTTATTTCTATCCAACGAAACAATAAGAAGCAAAATGTATATTTTTATTTCTTACCAAAAAATTTACAAAATTATTTTATTTTTTTACTTCTTTAATTTCATTCCTCCCTTTATTCTTTCACTTTTCCTTTAACCAAACCTATCGTAAGTAAATAATTTCACTCCTTCATAATGTATGTTTTTTTTTATATTGTATTTTATAATTTGTTTTAAAGTGAATTCACATGAAAAAGTTATGTTTAAAAAAGAAATGAACAAAATACAAACAAATGATTATTTTTGCTTTTTGACATAAGACATTGATTGAGAAACACCATAATCAATTACTTTTGTCCACAAATGCGGTTAAAGTATATTTCTCTCCAATTTTACAAAAATAAAAATTTGTTCCCTAATAATCTGTCTTCCACACCCAATTTTTATTTATTTATTACCTATTTCCACTCTCATTAAACAAATTGTTCATTTTTTAAATATTATAAATAATTTTTAAATCACAATATTTTAAGTAAGGTTGTGCAAAACTTCAAAGACCCGATGCATTTCTTTAACATTATAGAGTTAAACCCATTTCACAATCATCAATAGTTTCAATTAAAAAAAATCATAAAAAGCTTAATAAACCTAACCATTCACACTAAATTTGTATTTGTGCGAATCCAATCACGAATTTGTTGACTAATGTACCATTTTGTTTTGTTTTAAAATTCATTCATAATCATCTGCACCACAAACAGTGTCAATGTCCACAATTTACGTTACTTAACAGTTTGGGTCACAAACACAAAAGGGTAAATAGGAGATTTCGAAATTCGAAAACGGGACGGGGGTCAGACCCATAATTCATAGCACCTGTTAACAGCGACAAGATATTTAATTTCGCGTCTCTGTCTCCACAGAGCGAGAGAACGGACGGTGTTGATTTCTCCGTCAGAACCAATCGCAACCGTCCAACGCGAGTTCCCGAGTCCATCCATATGATCAACAAAACGACACTGCCTGAGGCGTTTATTTTCCATTTTGCCACTCTCTCTCGCGTACTATTATTGCGTTTTATTGGTTCATTCATCCACTTTCTCTCTTCAAAAACCTTTTGTTTCTTTCTGCTTATGGAAGGCCCTTAAACTTTCCTTTCTCTCTGCTTCACTTTCTCGCTTTTGCATTTTCTCCTCTAAACCAAAAACCTTGCGTTCTACAAATTCTTCTTCTCCTTCCCCTAACTGCTCCCTTTTTCAAGCATTTCTTCTACGACTCCGTGTTTCTCTTTCTCCACACTTTCAGGTAGAATGTACACTTGTTTTTTTTTTTTTTGGAAAAAATTCAGTAACGATTTTGTGAGTGTGGATCTATTTAGCTGTTGCAGCTTTCTATTTGTTTATTTATTTATTTGCGGAAGAAGATTCATGAGGTTATGAAGGAAGCTGAAATAGTAGAAAGTAACGCGTGCTGTTTTGAAAAGTTTTTAGTTAATTTAATTACTAACTCGCAAGGTCGTGTACGTGTCTTAATGTCATGTTCCCGTTATGATTGTTTATTTTTGAGGTTAGTTCTGCAATAGTATAACGCATGCAGGTTATTATTTTCAATTTCTAGCTCTGTAGCAGTATTATGTGATTAATTGTTGATTAAGTTTGTCGCTAAAGGCGTGATCATTATGATTTGGGAAATTTTCACTATGCAATGAGTTTTGTTTTGTTTTTTTTTTTTTTTGTTATTAGCACAGCGTTTTTGTTGCTGGTAACAAGTGAGGTGGACTGTGGTTTTGACTTTTGCGGTTTCTGTTTGTGGCAGTTTGGTTTGTTTGTGTGTTTGGAGTGTGATGTCGCCGGCGGCGGTGGTTGCGGAGGAGGACGGGCGGAGCAAAGGGTCGTCGACCGTAGCATCCGGTTCTTCGCAATCCCTAGACTGTTTCTCTCAGAATGGGGCTGGATTGAAAGAACGGAATTATTTAGGGTTGTCTGATTGCTCATCAGTGGATAGCTGTGCTTCTACTGTGCCAAGCTTGTGTGATGAGAAAAAGGAGAACATGAATTTGAAGGCTACAGAGTTGAGGCTGGGTCTTCCCGGATCCCAATCACCTGTTAGAGATCCGGATCTTTACACTTTAAGCTCAGCCGCGCTTGATGAGAAGCCACTGTTCCCTTTGCTTCCGACTAAAGACGGAATATGCTCTTTGCAGAAAACAGGGACAACTGTTGTTTCGGGCAACAAAAGAGGTTTTGCTGATACCATTGATGGGTTTTCTCAGGTGAGAACCCTGAAGTACTCCATATTGTGAGAAATGATTTCTTTTGCTGTGTCTGAAATTAATTCCTCACAATCTTTCGTGCAGGCGAAGTTTACTGGTAGTACGGGGATGAGCACAATGCTATCACCTAGGCCTTCTGGAGCTCAGCCTTCTGCAATGAAAGAAATGCCAAACAAGTTGCAAGAACGGCCTTGTCAAACTAACAATGGAACTAGTCATAACCATGCAGGTGCTTCTGTCAGTGGCAGTGCTCCGGCTTCTAAGTAAGTGAAATCTGCCAGCTTAAGAATCTGTAATTAAACCAGAAGTTGGACAACATTAACGAGATTTTCACTATGTTTCTAGATGTGCTAATGTAGTAAAATCTCTTGTATGGCAGGGCACAGGTTGTTGGTTGGCCTCCTATTAGATCATTTAGGAAAAACTCGATGGCCACAACCTCCAACAAGAACAATGATGAAGTGGATGGTAAACCAGGTGTTGGTGCACTCTTTGTGAAGGTCAGCATGGATGGTGCTCCCTATCTTAGAAAGGTAGATCTAAGAAGTTATACAACATATCAGGAACTATCTTCTGCCCTTGAGAAGATGTTCAGCTGTTTTACCCTAGGTGAGTTTTTTCAACTCTTTACTTTAGCAGTAGAATTGGTTTTTACTAATGATTTGTTTTAAATTAATATTAATATTTATATTGATGGTGACTTTAATTTTGTTATTATGAAATGTGCCTTTGGTACTGGTGTACAACCAGGTCAGTGTGGTTCCCATGGAGCTCCTGGAAGAGAAATGTTGAGTGAGAGCAAGCTGAGAGATCTTCTGCACGGTTCAGAGTATGTCCTCACTTACGAGGATAAAGATGGAGACTGGATGCTTGTAGGAGATGTACCATGGGAGTAAGTTCCTTTTAATTCTCTATGTGCTTGGTCATTTTTGTCTTTTGATTATATTTCCTTGTAATAGTAACTATAGTTGTTTCTGAGATTATGTAAGGTTCTCAGAAAGGTGTGAAGTGTAAAGGTGTAAAGTGTAATCATTTATCATTATTAAATTATGTAGAAAGGTGCTTTAGCAAATATATAATCTAAAATGGTGTAAAGTGTAATCATTATTAATCAGCAGATATGTAATTTGTTGCTAATTGCCGAGAGTCAAACAATTTTGAAATTGAAAAATTAATTGGGGGTTATTTTGGTCACTAGTGTTAGAAAATTCTGGGCTTGAGGTTGAGGAGGGGATCAAGGTAATGTATACAAGAGCAAGAGTCCTGCACCTATATCTATTTGTGGTTCTGATGATTAATTGCTTGTGTTTATTCCTTGAACAGTGGTTCCATTGATTAATCATATGCTTTTCAAACCATGCATCATTTTCTGACATTACCTTTTAATTTTTGAAGTAATTTCAAAAGTTAGTAATTTCTGATTTTTGCTTGGCATTTTGTACTTTGCGATCACCTATAAAACTTGGTAACTAAGTTTGATCCATAATATGATAATAAAATGTCAAGTGCAAGAATTAGTTGCTACTGCTCTCTTGTATTAATTTTTCTCCAAACTAACTCTTCTAAATTTCTAATAACAAGAGATTACAGGATGTTAAGGATACAAAATAGTTTTAATTTATATGAAATTGCAGTCAGTTTCTTCATTTGCAATTTTGAGGCATGGCCAAGAATTATTGTTAAACAACTAGTTTGTGCACACTGCATAGCATTTTTTAAATGTGAAATATGCTGTTTTGACAAGTCTGATGGACTGAGGCATAAAATTATGCATAGTTTATGAGTGCAGTAACACCCAATTAACCAGAAAGTTGTCCTTTTAAGAACATTGATATATGGACACCCCAATGTTAGAAACACCCGTTTAATACTCCCCATTTATCTTGTCACGTCATATCACTTATTACATGTATTGCTTTTTTTTCTCTTCTATTTCTTTCTCTCTCTAGGTGTGGATGGGCATTGAGTTGTCCACAACATTTATCTTTTCAGAAAGGAAAGTATAATGTGAAATCGAGACATTTAGCTTGCACTATATATAGGTCTCTTTGCAGTTAATCACCAGAAATTTCAACTAGTGCAGTAGATTTAAAGAGTGAATAGAATACAAAGTACTGAAATGTGTGTTTATGATTTTAGCATGTTGCAACTTCTATTATAGTGATTTGAAATTCTATTGAGTATGGTAGAACCCCTGCTACTATGGTGTATGCTGGAGATGAGGCTGAAATGGAGGTTAGCATATGTGGGTAAGGAGGATAGAATGGGGGGAATACTGAAGATGTGGGTAAACAGGGTTATCAACAGAATGCCTGAATAGTAGTGGGAAGTGAATGAGAAAGGGGGAATTTGGTTAGTGACAATAAATTTGATGAGAGGGGAGAGTAGGGGTTTGTAATGGTTGATCGAGGACTTGGGGCCTTTGGGAAGGGATGGAGCATATTCATACCCCTCATTGAGTCAGTAGTGTCTCATTCCTTTTTCATCTATCTAGTTCTGTTTTTATTATTTTCCAACTTTGTGGTATTACACGATTTCCCTCTGCTGTGAGGAGTTAATCCCCATATTTTTTAAATAACGAATCCAAGTCCCAATCAGAGTATTTTAATTCTAATTCAGCTATATTACCTAATAATGATATGAGACCAAATAACTTGATAATGTCCATGGCTTTTGCTCTTGAATAGGATATTTAAGTCTAATTCAGCTATATTACCTGTTGGCCTGTGTTAATGTGCTTGTGTATGTAGACATCACGTGTTAATGCTAATTACTTGGTGCTTGTACCAAGAAAATGAACTGAATGATTAATGGGGTGTGATTTTTGCTTTGTCCTTACTGGTTTGCTTGATAGCTTCCCCCTTCCACTCAACTCATTTCTACTTTTTTTGCAGAATGTTCATTGACACTTGCAAAAGGCTGAAAATTATGAAAGGTTCTGATGCCATTGGCTTAGGTATGTATTCTCAGCGATGATTCATTTTATAGTCACTCATTATACCTAATGCGGAAGGCTATCACATGAACTAATTCTAGATTGTGGCCTGCTTAACTTGAGACAGTCACCGTGTCTAAGAACTATAACCTGCCTCGTTATGATCCTGACATGTTAGTGTGAGATCACTTGAATCTAGACAAACACCGATATATGCTATATCGTGCAATATTTGAAACATTATATATTATATATCAATAATACAAGAGAACAAAAAATTTTGTTCTCTTAGAATTGTTAAAATTGTTTTATTTTAGACGATATTTTCATTCGAGGGAACTGCATGAATTTTGTTAGTGACTATCTCGTCACCCGACGTCAATTTAAATATTAACCACGCTAATACTACTCTGTATCTTGTAACTCCTAATTAATGTGCCTCAGTTTTCTGACGTAGATTTTCTTGCCTCAGCTCCCAGGGCCATGGAGAAGTCCAAAAGCAGGAGTTAGGGTTATACCCTGGACAGCCTTTTGTCTAATCAAACTTTTGTGCTCGATCCGGAGTGGGAAAAAGCAGAGGATGATGACTGAATTCCCTGGCATGGTCGTTAAATGCCCTTCCGATGTTATTTATGTTTTTTAAGTCCATGAGTTTGTCTTGGTCTTGTGTTAATTTGTTACCACTATAATACCATATAAAGCTACAATGCAAGATTAGTATTTGTGGAGCCTGTAATCATTATAGGAATCTGTTTGTTTGGATGAATTGAATCTGTTACAGCCAACGTACGGTTCTAACACTATATTTGTGATTTGCATATCTGGCCCATTCTTATCTTTCATTTTACCCCTTGAATCCTGAACGGGCATTGTTTCATGTCCACTCTTAAGGGTGTGAAAATAGGTCTGTCCATGCTCTGGGTTGGATTATTAAAATTTGGTCTTTCCATTGGATGTGGGTTGTGACAGCTTATAGGCTTATTTTTATAAAAATAAAATAAAATAAAATAAATTCCATAGCTGGAAAGAAAATCTCAATGTGATGCCCTGTAAAAGCAGCTATCATTGCAAACCATGATTATGTTTCTGGGATTGTCGAGAATGGTGAATCAAATGGTTGACACTAACATGGGAGGTTGTGATCCAAGTTTTTTTACCATTTATCATTATAGCTTGTTTGCAAAATATAGCTGATTTTCCCCAAAATCGGATGTGACTGGGAAGGTTTAATCATCGTAGATTATTCTACACTCTAGATATTAAGAATTTGATGTTCCGAATTAGACGAAACCTTGAGTTTACTTGCTGGGATAAAATTGCATATTTCATTATCACTCAAGTAGTCCAAATATATTGCGCTAAACTGCATTTGTCATTTGATTTGAGAAAACTAGTTTGGGGTGCATGATGGTCGTGTAACATCCCTATTTTTTCCCGATCTATAACCATGGCCACCAGCATACTGAATTATGTTGCTTAGTTCTTAACTTCATCTCATTGCCAAAATATCAAAAAAAATTTACTTTACCTCCATTAATAGTGTCCTTGAGTGTTCTTTTCATTTCTTTTTTTGTTCATTCTTCCTTGTCTTGGTATCTACGTTATATGGAACATGATCTGTGGCCTCTCTAGCTAGCTTGCTTTAATATGGTTCCTGTATGAACATAATGCATTCTAGTAATGGGGTAACAGGTAACAAAGAATCAAGCAGCGAGGAAAGGTTCTCAGCTTACATAAACATGATATATGCTTAAAATTTGATGGACGTCTTCGCTATAAGCCTTTACGACCATCTATATCGGGGTTTCCACGTCTAGGGGCATGTGTAAGTATTCTTATGTCATGGCTTTGAACTTTTTACATAAATCGATTATCAAAATATGAAAAACACTTGGATATCAAATGAATCAATTCAGGTATAACAAGTTCAATATTTATAAAAACAAATGAATTAAGTGCATGTTGAAAACTCCAATCCAAACTTCGGGTTAGCATGCAATATCTCAAGGATTAGTTAGTTTCAAATCTACATTTTAAGATAGCAGAGTCTATTCAATAGTAGCTGTCATAATTTTCATTCTTCATTAGGAAAACAGCAATCATGAAATATTAGTTTTTATACAATAAAACCAATAGCTGTACGTGACAAACCATCAAAAAAGGGGGAAAACTAAAAGTATACGTCACTAGATATGTTGATTTTGTGAAAACTTAACCAAATATGTTTGTTTTAATTGAACATCTAGTTTCTTTTGGCAGCCATGAAATTTAAGAATCTAGTTGGAATACAATTAGAATTTCACATCATTCAAACAAAATGACGTATATGATAAATGACCAAAACAAAATGAACTTAAATCTATACTAGGTAAAATCCTAGTAAGTATAATACCAGCGATAGAAGCAATAATCTTAGAGTTGGTGTGCACTGCCACCTTGTCGCAGATTTTTTTCAATAAACATTTAATGCATCTTATTGCAAGATTTACATTCGTACAGTATGAAATAGCATTATTGTCGGTTTCTTTTGACTTCTGATTAGTACTGTTGAACGTTGAAGTTGTTAATACTGATCACACTTTACGATTTATTAGTTTAAACATTGTTAGTAATGCATGATGAATTTGAAATATTCCCAGGTTAGTGCAAGATTAATTATGGACCAAAAGTATTAAATAATTATAGAAGTACACTGATGATAGTTTGTCATTTCTTCCAGATTCTATGGATTATAATATTTATTTGAATTTAATCATGCTCTGCTAAATGGCAATATGATGGCGTTCCCTCCGAAGGAAACACAACATTTACATGAAAAAGCTTTTGACATTAGTGCGCATAGCTGTTAAGAGATAGAATCGAGAGGGAAATGGTAGATATTATATTCCATACAGAAACGGGAAATTTGTGTTTGTTTATACTGTGTATTGTTTTTTCACCAAATGTTTCTTTCGAGACTATTTTCCAGTAATTTGACATGTACTAGTTCATTCAAAGTAAAGGAGACTTTGGAGTAATGTCTAAGAGATATATATAATAGTCCAAGGCCAGAATCTTAAAAGAAAAGTAAGAGATATAATCCAGAATCTTAAAATGAAAGTAGTAGTGTTAGAAGGATTAATTGTAATCATTACCTAATAGTGGAGAAAAGCTGTACTAGCTACTGGTGAGGTTGGGAATCAATTATTGATTTATTGAAGTTGGATGTCACTTGTTTAGAATATTCTTACCCGGATATGATATAATCGTATGAAGTTACACTTGTAAGTTTCTTGCTGTGATTATTTTACCCTGTATGCGCAGCATCACTCTGTTCATTAGGTGAAAACAAAAAATTTTAAAAAGGAACCATCTAAATGCACTTCATCATGTTCAAGATTGTAAGATCAGATTTTCTTCCTTGGTACCACCTGCTGTACCAAATAAGCAAGAATTGTGAAGCCAAACATCAATTTGTGGATGATATTTTGAATAATTGTAGTGTCCTTTATGTGATTTTTGGTCCTGTCATAAATATCTTTTAGCTTATTGAGCTAGAAACTAATCTCTGTAATTATTGCTAACTTAACGAGTTCTTCACACGATACGTATCATTGATGTGGTTTGGTTAATAGGTTAAGGTTCTCATTAATGTCTCATAGCTATTGAAGTTGCAACTACATACATAGCTGAAGAAACTAGAAAATAAAAAGTGTGAAGTAGTAAAGTCATATTGTATGATTAATGATTCTTGAACATTCAGGCAAGATAAGATTGTAAGTGGGCTTTTCCCCTGTATTATGAATATGACGTGATTTAATTACCCTCCATGCATGAAGAAGTTAAAGTTATGTCAATTAATGAGAAGCGGAAAAATTCAAGTGAGAAGTGGTTAACTATTTCCCCCATTATGCCATTAATTGAAGATGCCAAGCAAAAAAGAGAAAAAGTAGTTTGAAGATGCTTGAGAACCATACAGAGTGATAAATTCAGTGGTGATCAATGTTCATATTCCTCTTATAATTTGATTAATAGGGTGGACTTAATGACACAAGATTTTGTTTCCTTCCACTAATTCAAAAGCACCATGATTTAATAACAGCACTATGGACCTGTTTAGAAAGAGATAGATACTGTGTAAATGTGGGAAACAAAGTATTTTTAACAACAAAATCCTCATATAAATTATGCAAAGAATAACATAATGTCTTAATGCTAGGTGTTGACACGGATATAAAAGCTTAAATTTTAAGTATCATATAATGCAAATCACAACCTCCCCACCACTCAAGCCCCTAAAAAGAGAAAAACACTTCCACTAACAAGTTTATTTCACGTGAAAAAGTGCTTAGATGATCTTGTTAAGATCCTAGGTAATGGGGGGCTAGTTGGCGTAAATATAAATGCTAATTTAAATTTTAAAAATATTCTTTTTAGTTTAAATTATCTAAGTTAGTTTATTAAACTAGAAGTATCTAATAATATTGATTATTAAACTAGTCGATAAATGTAAAATAATATAACGAATATGCGTATATGATTTTTTTTAATTATATAACCTTTATTTTAGTTTTGTAACATGATCATCCTAATATGAGGTCGAGTTCTTTTATTTGAGAGTATAATTTGAGTTAGTCTCTACATATTTTGTGTTTGAGGCTGGTAGACAACTACACCATTTCAACTAGATGTCGAGATATATTACACCAAGTTGTAATTTAATATATTGTTGATCCTTTCACCTATACGACAAATTATTGGGCAACGACTCAATCACTACTAAAACATCTTGGCATTTTACCAACTAAAATTCGTATTCTATACCAAAATATAATCATTAATGATCATAATTAAGTATCTAAATATATTACCCAATTATATGATAAAATTCTAACGAGATCCCATAATTTTCGAGATACATAAAGACACAATAACTAAATATAAAACAAGATCCTAGAGAGAAAAAAACTCTTAAATATTCTAATTTTGGACGACAAATAGATTATTTTCTGGTATATATTTTTTTAGGTAATTATAGTTGTAGGTAGGTTAGTTAATTTTGACTCTTATTATTATTTTTTTATATAAACCAAATACTTTAGTAAACAAATAACGTAATGATTGAGGATGAAAATGGAATAAAAAAATGTTCTATAGGCAAGTGGAACATATGATGATGAAGATGAAAATAATATATAAACACATATATTACTTTAAATAATGAAAAAATATATTATCATTTATCAAATGCCTCTGTTTTAACTACCAAAAAAAAAATGCCTCTGTTTTGATCAAATAAACTTACATGTTAATGAAATAAGCTATAAAAATGACTTGTCAAACTCAACTAAGAGCCTCGGTACAATCTTCCTTTTCTCTCTATTTGCAGGAAACCACTTTTCACTCTTAATACATAATTGAGTTCAAGTTCCATGCACAATTGGTATGAATTTTTTTACACTAACAATCAACTTAAAAATACTTTTAAGTATAAATTTTAAGATGATTATTATAAAAACTAGAAAACTTATGACACTTTGTAATTAGAATACAAATTAAATTCCACATAATTTGTCTAACAATAGAACCACAGAAGGAGAAATGATGATCAAACAGCTAGCTTATCTAGTAACCGTGACTTTTACATTCTCATTTTCTGAAAAATAATGGCCCATAAGTTTGAAATGGTTGTATCTGCCTTTCAATTAATTAGTCACTTCAAATTATTTATCTACTGACGACAAATTATACATGTGCTTAGAACCAATTGTTAAAAGTTATCATATCTAGTCCCCGATACCATGCCCATTTTTTGTCCATGTTTCAAATGACAACACAATAAA